TTTTGCAAGACTGTCAGTGGTAAAGTTTCATGCACATTTCAAGTCGGTTAGCTTGAAACGAAGCAAAATAATGAATTAAAATTTCCACAAATGCAACTTAGTAGTTACTACTGGCTAAAATTTTGCCTTCCTCCTGTTAAACTCGAAGCCTTCTCCAGTTTTAGTCCTGTCTTTCGCATCCTATTTAACTCAGACAGATTTGCCAGGTCTTTCTCAATAGACAAAACGAGGCAGCCGTCTTCCTACTTCCAAGTTTCTCCTCCTAACACTGCTATTAAAACAGCAGTATTTTCTGAACTTCAAGTCGAAAAAAAGGATTTCCCTTTTCACGCGTAATAAAGCTCGCAGTTGCTTTCACGAAAAAAACTGCAAAATTTTGTCACCAAATTTTGTGGATTGCACACCTGTGGTGGTGCCACCGTCAATCCCAGCAGGTGCCCGCATACTATGGACTGAATTGCCCATGCATTCCCTCGCGCCAACAGCACCAATAAAGCTATTCTTCGTGCTGCCATCTTGTGAAGCTTGCCGCAGATTCATAGCATCACCACCAGCTTCGCTGACAAAGCCACTCTTCACAGTTCCGTTCCACGAAACTTGTGACAGATCCAAGCCACAGGCACTGTTGGCTTTTACGCGTACATCTTGACTTTGACTGGCACCGAAATTACTCTTCACACCCTCATCCTGCGAAGCACGGCGTGAATACATGCAGTCACCCAAACCGGCCTTCACGTTCCGCGTATCTTTGCGTAATTTCACACCACCAGCAAATGTGCTGCGACTGATCGGCTGTGGTGCTGCAAAAGCAAAAAAAATAACGCTTTTATCGTCTTTCCAATGAATGTTACGCTGATTGAATGACTGATAAGCTGAATGACAAATCGCCAAAAAATTTAGCAAGAAAGATATTGTATCGCTATATCGCGATACAATCTGTTTGGGGATGAGACGCAGTGGCAAGCCTGGGTCGAATCTGCATCACCACATCGCTGTAATTTTGACGATACATGATGAAAAAGGAGATCTGCACGCCCTCCCCCTTCCCCAAGTTTCTGCGCAACAAAAAAACTATTCCCGGATCCAGTAGGGCAAAAAGTCATTTAACGTATATAATTTAATTATAAAATGCATTCGAGCTGGAAGCAAGATCCCATTCTTCCTTTGGATGAAAGCCTGCTCAGAAACGAAAAAAAAAAAAATCCGAACACTTTTGGAGAACATAGCTAAAAAGCAAATCTGCCTTTTCGGCCTTCTTAGATGCTAAACCTTCCACTGACTTTTTCCTCAGATTTTTTCTTAATTCACTTAGGCTCATTCACAATTCCAGCAGCTCTTAGTGGACAACTAATTACACAGCAAGGAGGATGAGCCACCGAGTGATTTAGCAGTGGGTAATTATTACTGATAAAATACCACTGTCTGAGTCGTTTCGTGTGCCTTCACCTCTCAATTAAAGCGTACTGTAAAAGAAGCTTTGTCTCTATCACAAGACTTTGACATCAGTAAAAAAATCAAGCTTTGGGCTCATGTCAAAGTTTCCATAGCACTCGAATACTTTTCTAAGGCCACAAACAATGAAGGCTATAGTAAAATTCACAAAAGTTGGGGCTCTTAATGAGAAAAGAACAGAGAGGAGGCACTCTGCACATATAAAATATGTAAACGAAGAGATGGA